TCCTCCACGCGGTGACTGTGCAACGCCAGGTCCGAGAATCGTTTTATCTGTTTCTGGACCGAATGAAACGTTTCACTCCGTTTTATTTTGGACTTAACTTCGTCATCATCTTCGTCGTAAGCGCACTCGGAGTCGACGCTCTCTTCATCATCCTCGAAAAACGGGTTGACTTCGAAGTTTTTGTTCATGAATAGGCTCCTGGACCGCCTTGGTGGCTCGGGAACGATTCTGGTAGGAATGATGACCACGTCATCCGTGTCGGAATACTCGTAATACCGTTTGGAGTTGTCACTGCTCACTGAAGACATTTTCCGTCCATCACCTGACTCAGTGGACGCATCGTTTATAACCTTATCGAAGTCTTCGAGCACTTCCTCGATGGTAGTGTCACCTTGTGATACGCTGTACATCTTGTAGGGAACCTTAATTTTCTTTGATGTTACTTCCTCTTCACAGTCGTCTTGTTCGGAAGAACTTATACCTTCGTCTTCGGCAGAATTACCACCGCCTTCAATTTTATTCTTTTGTGAACTTTCAACGTGGTCTTTGCGTGAAGAAATTACACGTTTCTCTTCTTGGAGAAGCTAAACATCAACAACAAAACAATTTTTCAATTAATCAATGTATCAGTCGATAAATATAGAATACGGTTTTACTCACGTGAATTTTTTTTTCTAGCATGACTACTTTCTCTCTAAGAGACTTAGCTTCTCTGATGACCTCGTCGTGCTGTCTTTTTAGTGATTCAACATTTATGAAATTTTTTTGCCACCTGTATATCTCATCTGAGACTGAGCTCAATAGTGGAGATTTGTTGGAAATATTCTGAAATCGTGACCGTATTATCGTTTAAAACGATTCATTTTTTTGTTAAATATGAATCTTACTTTTAATATAGCTGCAGGTTTGAAACCAGCTTGTTTGAGTTCGGCTTGCACATAAAACTTTGTCTGAAGATCCGGACACGTTTCAGTGAAGGCGTTTATAAACTTTAAACCAGCCAACAACAGTTCCATACCGGAACTACCGCTACCGGACATCATTCCCACTAAAAATCTGAACCTGACGGGCTCAGCAAATCTAAGTCGCATCGTACTCATTGCGTCCGAAACCGTATTGTGTCCATCTACAGTACCCGATTCACAACATGCCTTGGTCAGTAACTATAAACACACAAATACAGTCAAATATGAGTCAAAACATTTTTGAATCGTACGTTTTACTTGAAAAATATCATTTAATGGTTATCGATATCATATAAAAATATATCAATATTTATTATAATTCAAGCTAATTATTTTAGACATTTATTTTTAAGTAACTGCGTACAATATTAAACTATAGCAGTATAACGCGGTAATTGATGAAGGATTCGACGAATGATATTATTAATGCGTCTAATTTCAAATAGTTTACAAACCTCCAGAGTCAGTAATCGAGATTGATTGACAGTACTCATGATGCATGCGGCAAGTGTGTACAGTCCGGCAGGAGATATCGCCAATTTTCTAGCCGCATCCTGACAACGCATGCAATACTTCAAACATTGCAGGCACGCGTTTTCGTCTAATGTGATACGGCGCTGGTTTGCTGGCGTGCACTTTGTTTGTGTGCCGTTTTGTTGGATCGTTTTCAGGAGTTCCAGCAACAGCGTGACTCCATCTATTGGGTCACCGACGAATTCTTGTACAAAGCTACGAATCATAGAAGGCAAAAATCAAACATAAAATTATGAAGGACCCACCGAATAACTTTTTTTTTTTAAAATTAATAGTCTAAAACTGTTGACCTAGTATGAACAGTGTGATGGCTATATTATTATACCTGATACTATAAGGACACTGACAATTCTAACTTATAACAGCAGCCTACAAGGTCAGATCACATAATCTTGTATATATCTCATGCATTCAATTAAACTGGACTAGGTATTCCGAATTATCAATTTATTTTTTCATACATGCACGTACGACGTATCTATACTAGCTATTATAATATTATATACTATATATTATGTGTTATACTAACCGGCTGATAAACAATTTATTATTACCTTTTACGTTACATTTTCATCTCGTTCCCGCTTGAAATAAATGACCGATACCGGTTTTAGTGGTTAATTAATACTGGCAGTGTTATAACCGTTATTCCTCAGATAAGCCGGTTGGGTTATTTATTTTTATTTTTTATACGCACTCATACACTAGGGCATTGGGACTCTGTATTACGTTATAATTTTTYCTGTCAGTGTCAAACAAGATTGGCGAATAACGTAAACACCACTATAATTAAATTTAAGGTATTGATTTTAACAACCGATAACATCTCTTTATTCTAATGACCTACAAACAAAATATTTTCGTGTTTACAACGGTTTAATTTGCAGCTTGCAACTCGGGCGTAATACATCGTAGTCGATTCATAAAAGATAATATCTATTTAAATTTTATTGTATTATGAAARCAATAATTATAGTATTCATTAAATTTACAACATCTTCATTAGGCATTGATAGGCATTTTTAAATCTCTCAAAACTTATTATTTACTACTACTGCTTATAGATTAATTATATGAGCTTAMTTTTAGTTAAATTGCAATGTATTTGTTTTATTTAACATTTAAAAATTATTATACTACAGCTCATCACCATTCATAAAAAAAAATTTATTAGAAATTTAAATAAATTAAAACTGTTTTAAATCTAATCTATCAAATAATTTTAAGTTGATTACCAACTATAACGACTGAAACATTATTTTGTACTACCTGGTACAAGAGTACAGAATGTAGCAATTGCAAATTAATTTTATCATTTATATTTATGACGAATACATTCCTTTTTTGGTAGATAATAGCAAACGCAAAAGAAAATTTATAATTTATAACCTGGGCGTGGAGAGCTTCAAATAATAAATATACGAACAATTGAATTCGCGAATTCAACAAGGTTGTTTGATCATAATTATTAAAAATGTGATAAAACATACGTACTTTGATTGTTAATTATTAGTCTTTATTATTATTGTCATTAATGTCATTATTATTTTTTTAACGGACTAAAATAAGTTTCACAATGTTTATTAGATCGAATAAAATCTTGTATTTACTTTATATAAAATTAGCCTTATAATGTTTGTAATAATATAAAACTTAACAAACTAAAATTAGTTTAGAGTTACTAATAAAAAGTATAATTTTATTTCAGAGAATAATCGTTGAATTGTGATAAATATTTATTTTAATCATAATATTGTTCAGTTATTAATACTCTTTAATTCTRCATATTATAAAAAATAAATACTTTATAATATATGCATATTACATTTGTTGCTTACTCCCCCAAATAAGAATAATAAGTTACCTGAAATACGCAAGTTTCAGGTCAGCACTCAATTTTTCCAGTAACTCAGTAGCTGACGTGAATTCTTTTAGAGTCATTTCGGTTTCCTTCGGTTCATGTGAGTCACCATTGTTAACGTCGGACGTAGGCCCTCTCTTTCCAAATTTTCGCAAGGACCCTGCATAGTCTTCTACGTTGTACACCGGTGGTCTTGGTTGATCCTACGAGAATAACACATAATAATTAATAACCTTTTGAATAGATCTTTTGCAATAAAAAACAATAATAATTAACACAGATAATATATTAAGTATAAACAAGTTACACAAAATCATTAATTGTTAAAATCGTCCATAAAAAAATATAAAATTAGTTGTCATTGATTTTATTAGTTTATAATACCATTGTGGTATATCATATTGAATTATACTTATTTTTTACAAAACAAAATACAATTAAAACTCATACTATCTTAACAGAAATCTTACTTTTAAAAAACGTAGTACCCATGCATGGGATACKCGAGACAAAGTTCCCTTTTCGCGATTACAAAGCCGGCATGACTTCATGATTAGGGCGCGGACACACGACTAAACGGACGAAGTAATTTTTTATTTTAGTAAATAAAACGGTTGTCGTATAATTGCCCATCCCCGGATAGTTTAATGAAAATGATTTCACTTTCCTGCTCCATAATGAATAGAAAAAGAAACATAATTTTTATTCTAATACGACGTAGTTATTATTACATGATTATAGTTTTGATGGGGTCCCACGCTACAAATGAATAGCCGACTATATTGAGAGCGGATTTCGCTATAAGTAAGTACCTACATAACGCGGTTATGTTGGAACTCTAAACTTCTTTTGAGTTGTTATAATTGCCTTGTAACAATAAAACTACGGTTAAATATGAAAAACACGAGCAAATAACTCGTGCATGGGAATTTTTCACACACCTAATTTTCTTCTCGTCCGTTACCCAACACCAAGTAACATCATCCTGCCAAATTGAGTACGTCCTGAGCCAATCCTCATACTCTGTTTTACCCTAACGGTATTTGATAACTGTGAGTACTACATAACCTTATTGTACAAAAACATTAAATAGAATTAGACAAATAAATATTACGACACACACACACACACACACACACATTAATTATATATTAATCATAAGACTTAATACAATATCGCAATAAGCAAAATCTCCACATACAATTTATAAACAGTTATATAGGTCACCTTTATATTTTAGTAGGTATTTTTTGATATTGGCTTCTATGAATCTATATTAAATACTTAAATTTTGATATTTTTTTAATGTTTGCTAGCATGAATTTACTTTGAATAAAACCACTGTTATAATATTTTAATACAGGCAATAGTAACTATGTACAGATAAAGTGATAACACTGATAACTAATGGTCGGACACAATGGAGATATATGATCTTCTAACTTTTGTTTGGAAGCCTAAAATGATGAAATTTCCTATATTCAAAGCATTTAAATTTATCTACTAGTAATTAACAAAAATAACATAAACATTAAGTTAAATTTTAGGTGTACATTAAGTTATTATTTTGTGGRCCAGTTTTTCAAGGTGGTTAGAGGTCCCCGCGTATGTAAAATAACTACGATAATTGACGGTRAATAAACGATACGGGACCGGGTGGCAGTATTGTGCTAAACATTTCCCACCCGTTCCCGGGTTTTTGAACGAAAAAAAAAAAGGTATACATTAAGTTTGGTTCTTCTGATTATTAATAAATATTCATTTTGATGAGGCTGTAAGGCATAAATAATATATTGTAATTTTGATGATTAATGGTTGTTTAGTAATAAAATAAATATAGCATACCTAATACTAAAATGAGACAATTTCGTTTTGTTTTCATTGTATTATGAATATTATTGAAAAAGAAAAATCCTGGTATTGATGATTATAGATGATAGGTACTAATTTGCATAATAGTATTAAATAAACACGTAACTACTGTCTACATGATAAAAATAATATATTATTTTGTTTAACGGTCCACAACTTTTTATATTTTATTTTATTTTAAAAAAACACGTCAAAACAAGTTTATAATAAACTGCATTTGAAGTTTTGAACAACAACAACAACAACAAAAAAAAAAAACACTAGTGAAAATGAATATTTAAGTGCGAAAGTAGTTTGAATCGAGTTTCATTTTAGTGTATAATGTATGAAAATTAAGGAGCAATTAATTATTGTTTTTGATGCACTTGAAAAAATTTTGTATGATTTTCAATATTTTCAATTACATCGTTTTTAAGATAAGAAAATAATTTTTAAACCCTAATCAAACAGCCAAATATCATTAAAATTTATAATGTTCAGTAGGATTRTTATACCTAGATAATATTTACAAATTRTTAAAATTTAAAAATTATTATTATTCATAACATAACAAGTACATATAGGTGTCGGAATATTGGATTATAAGTAGCCAGGACAATTTTATTTATTTGATAATTAAGGATATTACAATTTGCAATGAACTGTTATTAAACTCTATTTACAATTTATTTACAAATTATACAAGTTATTTTAATTATTATTGTATATATTTGATTTGTTTAACGTTAAAGGTTGATATTATAATAATGTACGTATTAATTTATTGCATAGTAAAAACGCCTACAAATATTTCTTACTGAAATAGAAAGTATTAAAAAAATAATGTTGACGTAAATATAGTTACGTACCTATATAATACTTTTAAGATTAATGTAATATTTAAATGTTAAAATAAAACTTTTGTTTAAGTTACAGAATTAATTAATGTAAAACTGCCTTTAAATAACAAACAAAAAACAATTACRCATATATWAAAAATAAATGGTTAAGTATCTGGAATACGCAAAATACCAAACTAAATGAAATAAAAAGAGATGCCTATCGTTAGGTAAATCCAAAGCTTAACTGAAAAGAAGATACAGTACTCAACAGACTTTTGGACACACCAAAATCACACACGGATTCCTGATGTCAAGAAAGAAGCCTCCTATTTGTCAAACCTGTGGAACTATGTTAACAGTCAACACACACAATAACAACTATTGTCGACTGTTTATTGTATAACCAAGAACAAGTTGAGCACAGGATATCATATAACCTGGACTCCGCACTCAGTCCAAATCCTAAAAATAACTCAGATTTACTGAATTTTTTAAAACACTCCAAAAATTGTACAATCACATATAAAAAAAAAATACATCCCATTTTATTTATAACTCATCTTTGTAAATATCGTTGTAAACACTTATTCATGCATATCTTTCAACTCTGTAACTAATGGCCTTTGCTGCTGTCGATGTTTTTTTGTGATCAATAAAAAAAAACAAAAAACAATTATTGCATACAAAATAAAATTACTTGATAGTCTTAATTTCGCATGCTTTAAATTAGTTGTAAATTGATAAACTGTGATTTACTATTTTGCGTATTGGTTACAGACATTTTATTTTACCACTAAATAAAACCATGAACAATTATCACACAAATATTATAAAGTGTTCCGATATTTCTCAGCTCAGTCGTTTAATGCAAGATGAAACTCTAAGGAATATCAGTTTACTTTTGAATATTATAAATATCTTATTATTCAACATCAATCATAATCATTTTTCTCCAGAGCTCCACTAGCAAACTGTAAGGTCATGTTGATTTYTGTTGTATGGCCCCTTTATGTATTACCAGAATATTTATATTGCCTTAAATTTATACTTGTTTAAATTAACTGTTATTATTTATTGTTAATTTAATAATTTATACTTTTATAGTTTAAAGTTGTTCGCTACTTTATTAATCTCATACATGCTAGTACTTAATTTTAAAGTTGTTATAAGTTATCAAATTATCAKTATTAAGTTAAGCAGAAAGTGTACACACAATTATTTTGTATTTTTTTRAAGGGTTCAAAGCCTTTTGAATATATTATATAAACAAATAAATAATAATGTTCTCAATAACCACATAGTAATAAAAAATATGAAATACAGATTTCAAACACTGAAAAACTTTATTTTAGTAATATATTTAACGATTTCCATCATAGAATTTGCTATTATTATTGGTAGTATAAATTATTTTTTTAATTATTATTTTTACATTAGAATTAAGATTTCAACTACAAAATTAATTAGCCTGGTACTGTGTGGGAGAAGGATTAGTTGGAACACGTTTTGTATGTATGGCAAGGGTTTATTGTTGAACATCCGGGTGGTCACCCATCCTGTAGCTAGCAACAATGGCTGACACGTACACWCGGAGCGTTTCGCAATTGAGCCACCTGAGCATACGAACGCGCCACACCAATCCATATTAAATTATTATGTAGGCTACTTCAAAAATAATAATAATAATACAAGTAATAATGGTTTTAACTATACATTATTTTTTCTGTTTATTATTAAAAACCTAAACATTGTATAATATGTGGTACATCAATATTATGGAAAAGTCAAATTGGTTTATCTAAAATCAGCTATGCATAACCAAGTACCAAGCAATTTGATATTAATCTGATTTATTCGTTATAAATACATAAATAAATACACCAATTAATTTGATTTTCATGTTATGATTTAATTAAATTTCATAGCTAGCTTATTTCAAAATAAACCCACGTCAAAATGCACTCTTTATAAATATTATATTTTTCAATCGTGTTTATAAAAACAAAAAAATATTGTATTAAACTGAACTTYYACATGTGCGTTTTGATTCAATATTTTTACAATATAGATTAATAGTTGATCTTAAATACATATTATGAATGTAATATAAATATATTAACATATATACGGATACAGGGTCCGAGTCTCATTATTTCTTAAACTATGAACTTTTTAATAAATACATATTGTTTCGATATACTTTTAAATTAAGTAGATAAAACAATATTTTCAAAAATGTTTATAGTTGTCAAATTTTAAAAGAGTGTTTACGTTAAAATCACCTTGTACCTAATTACTAATCTGGAAAAAGAGGGCATCGAAACTTTATAATATATATAAGCTAAATTATTGAAAATCACGAATTATTAAGTTACATTTTGCTATCGTCGATCAATTTTAGGTTAATAAAATTCTTTTTTTCTATGACTGAATTAAATTCACAAATAAATAAAAATAATAACATTAATTATTATAAACGTTAATTAATAATTTATTCAAGTCATGGAATT